ATATTTTTTTTTTTTTTTTTTTTTTTGGTCAAATCACAAAATACATATGTTTTTATAACAAATAAATAAGTAATGCCAAAATGATGAGGGCCAATGAACCTGTAGGCTGACATAGCTAAGGTGTGACTTGTGATTGTAAAATGCCTTTAATTAGTTTAAAGTTTAAAACTCCCTGATTAGCAAAATGGTTTCAAAAGTAATAATAGTTCTACTTGATCAAAAAAGTAATGATAGTTCTACTAATATTAAATAAATAAAAACGGTGTTGCTTTATTATAAGGGATTGAAATAAATCTAGATTACTACGTTAAGATCCGAACAAAGCGGCCTCACCAGCCACCACAGCTGATATATTGGTTTTATTACATTTAGTTTTAGTAGTAAATCTATCAATTAAAAATTTCAAAAGGTTCAACCCATGATGAGAATATCCATTAGTTTCCTAATGTATCCTTCTACTTTTGTAAATGTACGGCACTACTACACACATGACACATCAATAATTGGTCTTATGGATATGCGTTTACCATCAAAAGTTATTTTCGTTTATATTTTAGAGATGTCTTTCTCAATATCTCTAAAATAAAGATTTTAGTTGTTTGTCCGATATATATTATCTTGTCAACATGTCTCCTCTTTTTTTTTTTCTTCTTGAAAGTGATATTGATGTCAAAAAATAAAAATATTTATAACTTAATAAAAAATAGAAAATATTTTGTTCCCAATAAGCATTTTAAAACCTAGTAACCAAGTTGTTTGAGATCATTTTCATGAAAATAAATAAATAATCCGGGAAAAATGGAGAAAAACTTATAAAAACAGCCACCAAGTTCCTCAAAACGTGTTACGGAGATGGGTGATGTCATCTCACCTCACTATTGTGTCGTCATCAGAGCTATGGTAAGCCAATGGGAGAGCAGATAAGCTATCATTTTCCTATTATACCCTCAAATCTTCTAAACTAGTCATAACTCATAGTACCCTCCACACCATTATAACTCATATACCTAATTCTCTCTCTCTCGTCTCTCTTTCTTAAGCATCTTCCTCTCCTGATCAGAGAAAAAAACAAAAAGAAAACCTCAGAAATAAAATCTGTCTCTCTTCTCTCCATTATATTACACCATTGTCTCATCTTCAGATCACCATTCCAAAAAAACCTAAAAAGAAAAAAAATCACTTACACATTATTTTGTTGTAACAAAATGGATTCAAATAGTAACAACACCAATTCCATAAAGAGAAAAGTTGTCGACCAGCTCGTCGAAGGCTACGAGTTCGCTACTCAGCTTCAGCTTCTCCTCTCTCATCAACACTCTAGTCACCACATCAGTCAGACCCGTATTGGTTCTGGCGATCCGGATCCAGTTGATGAGCTCATTGATAAGATCTTGGGTTCTTTCCACAAAACTATATCGGTTCTTGATTCTTGTGACACCTCCGTCCCTATGGCCGTGGAGGGTTCATGTGGCGATGATTTGGCGGCTCCCGTGAGTTGCAACGGTGGAGATTCAGGAGATAGTAGAAAGAGACTTGGAGTTGGTAAGGGCAAAAGAGGATGCTACACTAGAAAGTAAGTAAAAAAAGGTTGAATTAAAGCAGATATTTAGTGATTTATAGTTTTCATTTGTGTTTAATAATGATTTAATCTACTTTTATGTGGATTATAAAAAACATTTTCATTTCAAATTGCTATTTTTTCTCTGTTGATTCCATCATATATTGTGCTAGTGCCCCATACTGATATGACTTATCGTAAAGGTTAAATGACATTAAATTTGGAATTGGATTTGTTCTATAATATGCCAATATGTATATTGAAAATAAAATCATGGTATAGTGATATAGATTAGTATGAATATGACTGATTGGATTTGACCAATCAATCAATGCAACCGAATTTTATTTGTTTCAATTAGTGTTGTGATTATGTGCTATTTACCATGGATTTGTATTAACGTATTTGTCAAAATGGTAGTCAATAATTAATCATGTTTTACTGAACTATTTACAGGAAGAGATGGCATACTTGGACTGTGGAAGCTAAAAGAATTGATGACGACAAATATGCTTGGAGAAAATATGGACAAAAGGAGATTCTTAATACCAAATTCCCAAGGTCTCTAGTCCTTAGAGCATGATTATTGTAGGTCTCTTAAGCTGGGTCCCTTAACGTACAGTCCTTTAGTTTTTAACTGAAAACACTAAGGGACGTCCCTTATATAAGAGATTTAAGGGACGTCCCTTAGCGTTTTCAGTTAAAAGCTAAGGGACCGTACGCTAAGGGATCCAACTTAAGGGACCTGCAATAAACATGGTCTTATACTTCACACATATGTCTTTATATATAATACATTTGAAACCGAAACATATCAACCTAATCTGGAATTTATTATAATCATTTGAATTCTGCAATGGTCTAATTCATTGTGATTGTTGATGTTTTTCAGAAGCTATTTTAGATGCACATACAAGCCAACACAAGGATGCAAAGCAACTAAGCAAGTTCAGAAACATGAGCAAGACCCTAA